TTGTCATACAGACAGGCCTGTGTGAGCAGGGGCATTGTCAGGATGGAAAAACCAGTCACCCGACTGCCACAAATCTGGCCGCTGAGCTCCAAGTCACTCCCGACAGCTCCACAATTTCTTCAATGGCCCATTGTCGATCTTCCTTGATGATTTCACGAATTTTTTCAACATTTTCATGTGTTTGGGCCGTGGAAGGACGACCAGAACGAGGTTTGTCATCAATTGACATTTCACCATTTTTGAAACGGGAAAACCACTCAAACACTTGAGTTTTCCCCACAGCATCGTCCTTGTATGCCGTTTTAAACATTTTTAGAGTTTCTGTTCCACTTTTCCCGAGCAAAAAGCAGAATTTCACCGCTGCACGATGTTCACGAAAACCAGCCATTGCAAAAACGACAATCACACAAAACAGTCGTCACTATAAACTCTGCTGAAACTAGTCCTTACCTTCTGAAGCAACGGTAGTCAGCTTATCGACTCAGGAATGTTAGCTCTATGCGCTCATAGCGGCAAAACGCGGTACTACAAAAGCTCGGCCCACAAAAAAATTAGTTCGGTTTCTTTTGGGTACCCCATCATACAACACATTCTCACAGCTCAAGTTTGTAACCCAGTATAAAGGGCAGACCTGTGCTCACTCGTTTTTGATACTGGTAGTAGTCATCTCCAAAGAAGTGAAGAAGCATATTCTCTTCTATGAACACACGTTCATTAAAGAATTTCCAACTGGCGACTACATAAGCAACTATGCACACTAAGTTGACTAATATCAGCTGTTACAAAAAGAAAAAAACAGTACACAAAATTATTCCTGGATTAAAATAATACATAAGCTGGGTTTATATCATATGGAATACCATATCCTTAAGGTTTCAGTTGTATAGACATGTTATGCAAGGATGAGGGTTCCTCATGAAAAATGAAGATATCAAATTGAGAACAGGGACAAGGTAGAAGGACTGAGTGATGAAGGATATACAAAACAGCCAAGGAAAAGAGTGGACAGAGATAAAACAGAATCACTTATAAGAGGATAAAGAAGAATACAGAAGGCTCTGTCATATGACTATTCATCCTGGTGGAAATGTCAGTGAAATGCGATGAACACCCCGTATGACAAAAGATAAACAGAGGAGCAGTTACTGAGAGTAAGAGACTAATCAATAAAAAACAGCAACACATAGTTCACTGACGCCATGAACTTTCTAAATGAAGTCCACAGAGGAAATATGTAAATAACTACAGTGAAACTCAGTTCAGATTGTGATCTTTTGGGTTGACACTACGTAAACTTGTAAGCAGATATCAATGTTTTGGGTGAGCATGCAACCCTTATCTTCAGAGTTGATGAAGTGTGCAGGGTAGGCAATATTTCTTTTATTTGGTTACTTAATGATGCTGTCAGTACTGAGACTATGTAGTGTCAGCTGACAGGATGTGGTCATGGTATAATGAAGGTACAGTCCCAGCATTTGCCTGTAGAAACTGAGAAAAACCATAGATCTCATTTAGATACAATGGAAGGAAAGAGGACATGGAGGAAAGCCCAAGGCCAATAGGAAAATGGGCCTTTCCATGGACACAGTAGTTTTTCATCACAGGAGGAACACCCTGAGCATGGATGCTGCATTTTCCTCTAAAATATTCATGTCTGCCTACAAGACTACACAGTTTCACCACCTAAGAGACTACAATCTGGACAATCACTTGCAGTAAACCTCAACACCTATAGCAAAACCCATTTAATACATGTTGTAGGCTGTTTTTGTGCCTTATGAGGAATCAAGAGTTTAATCCCCAGCATGGGTAAGACTTTTTCTCTTTTCCACAATATCAAGATAGGCATCTGGGCCATCCAACCTGACATCTGATGGGTATTACAGGATGTTTCTCAAGGGACAAACTGCACCTCCAACCGACAATACTGGAATGATATGAAACAAATTAAGTTTGCTGACTTTTAGCATAAATCCAGAATAAAAAAAAATTTCATTGAAGGTTTTTAAAATAATTTCAAAACATGTGGAGAGCCACATATGATCTTCCTATGACATGCTTGCTTCTTTATGCTTTTGTGCCAAGCAAGCATACAAAAACAGGATAATTTTCCAGTTATATGCATACCTGAGTGCCTATAGACCAGTAGAACCAACCTACATAACTAGGATGTCTGCAGTAGTTATAAACTCCATGGGTCACTAACTGATGACCCTCCTCATGAACACTCTGAACAACGTGATTGAAATTTGTTTTGGCAGTGAACACTGCAAGTTTACGAAGGAACTCACCACCCACACAGAGCAGCATACCAATAAGGCTCACAGCGGTCGCTTCCTTCAAATCTGCAAGAAATTGTAAGACAAACCTTCAAAATATTTGTTAAGCAGCACTTACAAGTTCAGTAATACTGCACAGAGTACAGAACATCTATTAGCGAGTAAATCATCACAGGTAAAGTTTGATTTCTGGAAGAGATCTCTTTACCATCATATAGGGGCCACAGAGCATCCCAACCAATATAGGCTACTGGAGGCTCTTTCTGTGAGGGTACTGTACTCCACATGTGGTGCCAACCACTCACCTCCATCTAATAAAGGGGTGAAGAGCATGTGAACACCTCCAATTCACCTATATGCATCCATGGTGTGACACTAAGGCGTACAACTTTACTTAATCTTAACAGGCCATTTATTTTTGTTCAAACACCCCATATAAACTCCACAGGAAAAGTACCTGAAGTAGATACCTAAACCTTTCGATGTGACTAAAGCTGTACAAAATAAATTGAAGAGGTATTAACCCCTTGAGCATGACTTTATGTGGAGCCATTTAAATCCCTAAGTGTGTGCGATGCACCATCTGCGTCCGCTCAAACCCATGCATGCGTGTCGCATATGTTGCATCCAAACTTTTCACTAAGATTTCTTAACGCCTACGCTCTGATGTATGTACTTCCAGTGAGTGTATATGTGAGCTAATACTGACTTCTTTCATTCCTCGCTATCTGTTTGTGTGTGGTATTTTTTTTTTACTCGCTTTGCTTGGCACAAAGCATCTGGTGTCTGCTGCTTATGAAAGAAATGTTCCCACTCACATTCCGACTTGCTTTCAGAGAGATAATTTGTTAGCTAACATTCATTGAGTGCTTGTTATCTGTGTTTGTGTGTGTCTGTATTTTCTTTTTACTGGCTTGGCTTACTGGCGATAAAGCAGCGGTGTCTGATTTACGATGTTACGAACCTAGGGGTCGAAGTTGCCTGACGCCTGTGTCAACATTTATGAATTTGTTATTTCTTTTCTGCCTTGCAACACTCTCTTAGCAGAGCCCCATGGCATCTTGGTCACATAACTTGTCTGGCGGGACAGTTTCTTGCCCCTGACGCAAATAAAATCATGCTTTCAAAAGTGCGTTCCCACAACTTCGAATGAAATTATGGTATTCCTAGGTTTGCTTATGCTGATGGGAATTCAGAAACCAAACCTTAGAATGTATTTTAATAGGAAACAAGGGAAAAAGTGTGGTACGAAAAATTATTCAACCACTTAGTATCTGTTGTCTTATTTACGATGTTACGAACCTAGGGATTGAGGTTGCCTGGCGAGGTTGCCAGACGCCTATGTCAGCATTTATTTCCTTTCTGCCTTGGGACCGTCCCTTAGCTGAGCTGTTTAGTTCACCATGGCATCTTGCTCTCGTAACTTGTCTGAGGAACAAGTGCTTGATCTTTTGAACAAAAACTCTTCAGTAGATTCGGATACAACCTCTGTGGGTTCATGTGGATATACTCTCGATTCCTGTTCCGAAGAGGAAGAGGAAGAACTTCAATTTTCTCTGAATATTCCAAATAATACTTGGGAAGAGGTCGACAGTGCTAATCCTCCTCTACCTTTTGCGTGTGATTCAGTTGGAAAACAAATAGTGCCAGTTCAGTATGCAGATGATGCTCTGGCATCTGTTAAACAGAATAAACTTAGTGAATAACATCATAGCAAAGTCCCATGGACAGAATTTAGAAAAGCACAAAGGGCATCCTTCAGATACCGACATGGAAGGTATGAGATTGACGGGTCAGCATTTCATTCAAGAAAATCCCAAAACCAAAACTTACAAAGTTGGAAGAAGAAGGTGTGTGGTGTGTATAAAAAATGGAAAGAGAAAAGAAACCACATACAGGTGTAAAAACTGCCCAGGGACACCATCTCTCTGCCTCGACCCGTTTTGAGCAATACCACACCAAGGTCAACTACTAGACACTGGATATGGAGAGCTGGGAAAAAGAAATAGCTTGACAAAATGTAAGTACACATTTATAATAATGAACTGTAAACAATTGTAAATATAATATAATTTTTTGGA